AAAAAAAAAAAAAAAAAAAAAAAAAAAAAAAAAAAAAAAAAAAAAAAACTAGAAGCCACCATGACAGAAGAGTAAATTGAAACTAGGTTTGTCCGGTGGAAAACATGTCGCATGTGCATACATGTTCAATAGTCTCTAACTACATTCGATTTGCCTCTAGAGTAGGCCAAGTCATCATCTATCATAACTTGGGCTCGGACATGTCTATCCAGAATTGATTCATGAGTCAATTATATCATTGCAACAACAATCCACCAGAATAGCGAGTTCATATATTTACCTCCAACACATAGGTTGGAGCCCAATGTCGCCCACGCTGCGACACATGTCTCCCCTATTCTACATTATGAGGTCTGATAGAAGTAGACATGATTTTTGTCAACCGTCATTGTTGGGAACAACGAACCTCTACATTAATATGTTATTGTCCACTTTGAGCATAAACTCTCGTTACTTTGCTTTTGTTTTCTCCAAAATGCCTCATACTATATTAATACCAAAATGTTGTCGTTGTCGGACCTCAATACACATTTATTTATTCTCTTTAGAAAAAAACTGAATATTACACCAATAATCCTCTTCTCAAACAAAGTACACTATTGAACTTCCTCAGGCTCGCAACTTCTTTGTTTGACATCTGAGTCATTGTGACTTTACTTTCGAGGCTTACAAATGTTTTATTCAACGCTAGACCATTCTATTGACATAGCTAAGTTAAGATAAGGACATGACTTTAAAATTATGTTAGGAACAACGAACATCCACATTGATATGATACTGTTCACTTTGATCATAAACTCTCATGACTTTACTTTTCATTTCCCCAAAAAGCTACATAGCAATAGAGATAGTGTCCCTTACCTATAAACCCATAATCTTCCCCTTAATTAGCCAATGTGAGACTCCAACAATGCTCAACATATGGTCTTGTACAGCGCCCGTCGAGTGTTCAATCAATACCAAATTTGGCGAGCATTCATATGTCATATAAACACTTAATTCTAGAGGCGCATGCCCAAACTCATACTACAACCATGACTTTCGAGGGTAAGGCTTAGAGCCCGACCTAATCCTTGTTCGAGCCTGTTTTTGTTGACATCAATTGCCACTTTTACTCACGGTTGATCCCAAAATTGGGCCGAAAAAACTTTTTGACTCAACCAAAAGACTGGCCTAGTTAAGTCCTTTAGTATCCAATAAGCCATCGAAGGAGAATAAACAAGATTCCTTGCTTGTTGCTCCCTAGCAAGCAATAAAAAGAGAATGTAGGCTATTGGTCCAAATAAAGGCACACTTAACTAATGGGTTTAGCTTCTCGGTGGTTTAATCAGTTTGCATTGGGTCCTTGGTTTTTGTTGCTTTGGGTTCCTTATTCCACACAGTCCCAGCCGAGGCCTTGAAAGAGACAAAAGAAACAAACTTTGGCTTTTGAGCTTCCCGCATAAGAAAGAAAAAATAATATATACACAAGCATCCATTGGCAATATCTAGAAGAGATGGCAGTGGTTAAGAAATTTGGGGACGAACACAGCAACTTGTTGGACCAATACGAGAGACTGAGCTTTGAGGCGCGACTAAACCAAGCGATTCTGGGGCGGAGTCTTTCGGAGCCGAGGACGTTGAGGTCTCAACCGCAGCCGCAACTTAGTGCCTCAGGCTCAGTTCGGCTACCATACTTGGCAACAACAAGTAGTAATCAGCCCAGAAAAGGAGGCCGTGGATCCACATTCAACTTCAACAAGATTATCAATAAGTTACTCAAACCCATTTTGGGGAGAAAGAGAAAGAGTAGGGCAAAGAAGGAACTTCCAGATTTCAGAAACCCCTTGTCTTGGAAAGCCCTCAGTAAATCCATGCGCCTTTGATTTTTTCTCAATGTTGTCAATCTGCGTCCCCCTGCTTTCCTTGTCTATTTTCTTGCATCGGAACAGGATACTCGAATGTCAATCAATCAACTGATTCAGTGATTTTCATTTGTAGTTGAAGTAATTAACACTGGGATAATTATTCTGTATTCCTTTCTTTATTAAGTTATTTTAACCAACTTTCTCCTTCAAGATTTTGGGCTGTTCTAGCTATCAATGCCATGGAGCGGACTGGGCTCAAGTCAAGTCACTGGAGGCCCAAACAACTTCGTCTTTGAGTCCCCTCCGTTCTCCAATCTCCCAATTTCTGGAGATACAGACCAAACCCAATTTCACCCTGACGTGCACTCCAGCAACTTCAGCTTCCCATCCAATAATCTCTGCAAAAACCGATCTTTCCTTCCATAGAAATCCCAACATAAACGAATGCGTCTCGCCCTTCGCCCGTCTTTCCTCACAACTCTTCCGCTCTCTTCCACAGATACGCCTTTCGGTGCCAACTTTATCGAAGCAAATGATAGGCGTAGCGCGAATAAACGACCCCATTCCGTCTGTAATGGCGGGTTTAGTTTCAATCACCATGTTCACGCCTCACCTTTCAAACTGGGGATTCAGATCCCCACTAGAATGACCATTCAAAATGTTGCCGACAGAATTAAATCACTGCCAATACCGTCGGAAGAAGGGACTGAAATTTTCATCATGTCTCAGAAAAGTTGTGAGATTCAGAACATATGTGAATTCAATGACCTGTTCATGGAATTCGTCTCAGAAGATGAGCTCGATCTTGCCCTAAAACTGTTATCCAATTTAACATCTTATGGTTTGGTCCCAAATTCTAGAACATTTTCCATCATGATAAGGTGCTATTGCAAGAAAGGAGATTTAGATAATGCGGCTAGGGTTTTAGGCCAAATGCTGGGAAGGGGTTGTAATCCAAACGATGCAACCATCACAGTTCTCGTGAATGCTTTCTGCAAAAGGGGTAAAATGCAGAAAGCTTTAGAAATGGTCGAGCTCGTGGGAAGGAATGGACGCAAGCCAACGGTTCAGGCATACAATTGTTTGTTGAAAGGGCTATGTTACGTTGGGAGAGTGGAAGAGGCATGCGAAATGGTGACGGAAATGAAGAAGGATAGCTTGATACCTGATATTTACACGTACACGGCTCTCATGGATGGCTTGTGTAAGGTAGGCCGATCAGACGAGGCAATGGAATTGCTCAGTGAAGCTGAGGGAAATGGTGTTAAACCAAGTGTAGTTACTTTCAACACCCTCTTCAATGGCTACTGCAAGGAGGGCAGGCCATTGGATGGGATCCGTGTGTTGAAGAAAATGAAGCAAATGAACTGCACGCCCGATCGCATTAGTTATAGCACTCTGCTGCACGGGCTGATAAAATGGGGTAAAATCCGAACAGCCTTGAGGACATACAAGGAAATGGTTAGCTCAGGCCACAGCATCGAAGAAAAAATGATGAATACCTTCATGAGAGCGTTATGCAGGAGAACCTGGAAAGAAAAGGACCTATTGGAAGATGCCCATCAAGTGTTCGAGAAAATGAAGAACGAATTTCAAGTTATTGATCGGAGTACATATGGCCTGCTGATCCAAGCACTCTGTTCAGGAAACAGGACTTCTGAGGCTTTGGCAAATTTGCATCATATGATTGGAAAAGGGTACTCTCCATGGGCGATTACCATCGACGTTATGGTTCAAGCGCTTTGTCACAGCGGAAGCGCCAGTGAAGCATTGTGTGTTTTGGGGCATGGAATCCGTTTCAGCAGAATTTCCTTTGACCTGATTATCGAGGAGCTAAATGAAGAAGGAATGTGGCTTAGTGCTTGTAGCGTATATGGCCTGGCTTTGAAACGAGGTATTAAACCCACGAAGAGGCCTCGGTAACGAAACGTACTCATGAGAAATGCTCCTGCCACGAGCGGGCGTGCAGTTAAGCCCAAATATACATATTAATTTTATCAAAGAAAACTGATGAGCCACAGTAACCATGTTATTCCAGAATTTAATTTTAACAATTCCTGCCAATGAGTGATTTAGTTTTGGCATACTTTCAGATACAAGCTAACTGCTTCACATAGGTTCATCCTTTGCTAAATTGGTATTCTTGAGATAAACTTGAACGCCAACTAAATAGCCAAATGTTAGTAGTCAAAAAAGAGCAGAGTAGAGGGAGACAATGTTTGCAGCCCCATTGGTGATATTTGACGTGCTCAATCCCCACAACGAGATCAAAAGAATCAACAAAACAATTGCTGTTCAGAGGAGTACTGGAAACCTTCAAGCCCGGCTCGTGTAATTGACTATACTGTCGCCTATGTTTATAAACAGAGGGGCATTAACAACAGCACCAGTTTCAAGAACCACCTGCCAATGAGATTTCGTCTTCAGTTAGAAGGCTGACAATATAATTATTAGTGATTAGAGGTGTGAAGTGAGTATGAGCTATAAAGTGTAGCATGCAATAAGCAGATAATGATTAACTTCGTGCTCCAAAAGTCTTCTCAACCGTATTTCCGGTCACGTAATTGCGAATTTTGTCCTCACAAAAGCTGCTCCTCCTTATTAGCATTACCGGGCTTAACGTACCAGAGATAATTAAGATACAAGGAAGAATCCTAGCATACCGAAAATCATCAATACGAAGAGTGTGGAGAAGGTCCAATTTCAATGAACAGCCTTGTTACGTGGTAGAATAAGTTTAATAATTAAAACAAATAGTCATGGATGGATTCATTTAGTCAAGTGAGGATAAGAGGTGTGTTGTGCTTTGAAAACCAAAAGAATTAGGTGTTGGTTGAGATTAATTCACAAATTGACTTTGATGGTGTCCTCATAAAATTTAGTTGGATAGGTTTGGAAAATTATTCTAAATCATGTTGTGGGTGGCTTCTTGTCATTGTCATTATTATACATATGGAATTGACGTTATTAATCACCACTTATAATATCTCTATATATAACATTATCAATGATCAATAATGTAGAAAAAGAGGAAATAGATTAATATTTTTATAATATATTAGAACTCGCAATGACACGTGTGTCATTGGAATCCCATACAACACGCTCACTAATGGAAACAAAGAAAAAGAGATAGTAAAAGCAGGAAACCACCCATGCTCTTATTCATTCTGGTACTGCTATGGGAATTAAAGCAAGCTAGCTTCGTCTACGCTAACATCACCTCCACTCTCAGTTCACCCTGCAACCAATGTCAAATGAAACCAATATGAGACATAATTCCTTACATAAAAACCAAGACAAACGTAGAAGCATAGGATGTACTTACTTGTTGCAGTCGGTGCTGGGACTGATCTTATAAGGAATGCTGACGCCACACTTGCTTGGAAGGCTAGACGCGGCATTATAGTTGATCCCAGAGACGCTATTCGCAGCAGACTTCAAGCAGTTGCAAGCGGTGCGTCGATCGGCAGAGGTGGAGGCTTGGCTGTTCAAGGACCTTATGCCACTGCAACATGCTGCTGGAAGACCTGTGGATGGATTTCTCAAATATGGGATGCACGGCGCCACTGAGCTAGCCACTGTCCCGCATGAAATAGCCGCTTCACCCACTACCATGCACATCAAAACAACACCCACAACAATCGCCATCTTCATGCTTCTCTCCATTTTCTCCTCTCCTCTTCTCCTCTTCTCTTGTCGATGAAACTCACTAAATTCTGTTATAGCTTATTTTGCTGTGTGGATCATCCCCTCTTGGGTGCCGCTGTTTATATAGCCAACTCCACTCCTACATGCAACCCATTTCAAACTCACAATTTATGAGGCAACCAGGAAGGTGGTTGGTGGTAGTTGGGTCTTCACTCGATGTGGACCCAACCCCTTCCATTATTACCTTTTATTACTCTCTTCCATTTTCCATACTTATATCTTTCACCCTTCATGTGTTCCACCCTGGCGGTGCCTAATAATGCATACATTTTTACTTCACCCTGCTGCCTACTGGGCTACACTCAATTCTCATTCAATTTTAATCAAATACCACACCCATATGTGTCGTTTTATCTTTAACCCCTCCCTTCCAATTAGTCGTAATTTAAAATTGTTAAGAATATTCGAGAACGTCGTGGATTTAGTGAATTAAGTAGTAGAGTGGGAACTCATTGATGAGGAGGTGGACCTCAGACGTCCAATAAATGCATATGAATTGGACTAGGATGGCATGACCGACGGCCTAGAACGAAGCCCATGCTAGTCGAGACATGGCCGACCACGTGTCACTGTTTTCCGAAAGCCAATTAATGGGTGTCTTGTCTTTCTGCAAGAGAGAGAAAGAGGGAGAAGAGGGAAAATGTGGAACTGAGCGAGATTTGGTACCTCTATGTATGGGGGCTCTTGGACGATAGGGTTTTGATTCTCTTCCCAAGGTTCATTGGAACTTTAAATTCAGATACTTTTCAGGAAGACGAAAAGAATGAATAAAATTGGTAAAACACAATTGATATGGTGGAAAGTTGTTTCCCAAAAAAGAGGGGAAAGAAAAGTAAAATTTGTTATTTAACCAAAGGTTAGGCTTCGAGGTTGCTCCATCCAGTTAGGCCACGCTGTTGGGACAAAAATAGCGACAATCAATTGGGCATTTAAATGAGTAGGTATGAGTATCATACATCCCAACCAACGTACACACAAAGCCTTAATCCCACGCATCCACCTCAATACGCCATACCCTTCGCTGAAATACTTGTAAATATCACATTCTCATTCCCCTTCTACAAATTAAACACCACTCTTATCTCAACTAAAATAAATAAATATATTGTGAGAACAAAGATTCAAATAAATGTAGAAATGATGTCACTGAAAGCTTTTCCATCCGAACCGTTTGTTTTGGGCTGTTGGTAAGCGAGAAGAATCCATAGAGAAACCGTTGATCACACAAAAGCAGTGGGCTGAAAAACGTTTCCAAAAGGGCTGGTAGCTTAAATAATCAACACCATTGTTTCTCCCGTAAAAGCCTTGGACTATTGAATTTTAACGTGGCTGGATCCAGCTTTCTTGCAAACGCCACACTCAATCATCTCGTTTCTCAGTCGTCCCACATCATCCCACCGCTCTTCTTGAGCGTAGATGTTTGACAATAGAACATAATCTCCATCCTTCCTTGCCTCCAACTCTCCCAGTTTGCAGAACGCTTCCTCGCCCAATTCTACATGTCTGTGTACTCTACAACCACCCAACAACGTTCTCCACACAACAGCGCATGAACTGAAAGGGCAACTTTTGATCATCTCGTATGCTTCCTGCAAAAAACCCCATCTGCTGAGAAGGTCAACCATGCAACCGTAGTGCTTTAAGTCCGGCATTATCTTGTATTTGTTAATCATCAGACTTAAAAAATGACGTCCTTCTGCAACCAGACCCTTGTGACTACAGGCAATCAGAATAGCCACGAAAGTCACCCGATTGGGTTTGTGATCATCATTCCCTGCCTCCATGGAATCAAACATCTCCAAAGCTCTCTCACAGTGGCCATGAACTGCCAAACCCATAATCATCGCGTTCCAGCAACTTACAGGCTTCATCTCCATTTCGTTGAATACCTCCAAAGCTAAGCTAAGCTCCCCACATTTAGCGTACATATCAACCATGGCATTACCTAGATATCCTTCAATTCTGTAATGCTCCGCTTTCAAGGACCCGTGGATTTTCTTCCCCATCTCCAATGAACCCATTTCAGCACAGGCGCCCAAAATAGATATAAACGTTACTTCAGTTGATCTAATGCCCGACTGTTTCATGCTATGGAACACCTCCACAGCTCTCCTGTAATCTTTAGCCTTCACATAACCGGCAATAATAGAGTTCCAAGATACAACGTCCCTCTCAGGCATTTCTTCAAACACCTTTCGTGCTGCTACAAGATTATTCAACCCAATATAGCGTGCCAATACGGTATTCCAAGACGTTACATTTGTCTGAGGCATCAATTGAAGAAGAGCATCCGCTGACTTATAGTCATGAACTCGATTGTAAGCCGACATCATAATGTTCCATGAAACAGCACTTCTCACAGTCATTTCTTCGAAAAGCCTACGAGCAAAAACTACCAAGCCACACCCAGAGTACATTAGAAGCAATGAATTCTGGACGTGATGATCTTGATGGAGCCCCAATTTCAGTACGCGGGTATGAATTTCAGCGCCCTTGCGTGAAATGATATCGTGGCCAAAACATTGGTCGTCCTTTTCAGTGCATTTGATAGCTCTTGCACAAGCCTTGAGCACAAAATTGTAGGTGAAATGATCAGAATGAACATCCATACGTTGCATATGGTTGTAAACAAGCAAAGCTTTAAGGGGGAAAACGGTGTTGGAGTAGGCACGAATCATGGTGTTACAAATGAAAGAATCGTCCATGGAAGTGTCTTGGAACAAAGCATGAGCATGAGGGAGACTTCCTGATGGAGAAAGGGATGAGAAGGCAATTAGCTTCGTCATTACAGGAATGTGATTGCAGAGACCAGCTTTGACGATGAATGCATGAGCCAGTTCCAGTTCTTTCATGGAGGAGAGACGGAGAAGCTTGGGAAGTATGTAAGAAAGGGGACCTTTCAGCACCATGTTCCATATTCCTGAACAAAGGCAAATGCTTCAGCGACTAACAAGTGGAAGCATTGGGCGGGCTGGTTGCTTTTGTGATGAACCCTGTGAAGCAAATTTGAAAAGCCGCCGCATTGCATTCTATCCATTAATTCACCAAAAATGGGCCATTTTTTGTTCCTTTTCTCACTTTCTCAATATTTCAAGTGTGAAGCAAATATTTTTAAATTATTACAATGTTCAAAGTTTTTTAAATAAAAAATATATTAATGAAATGGATATGTAACATCTCTGATCAGCATCCATGAAATGGATATATCCTCTACATTCTGCTGACTGCTTGTTCTTAACTGTGGTTCTGCATTGTGATATCACCAGTCTCAAAATTAATATTGGGTGTATAGATTTCAAAAGAAAGGTCGTTTCCTTTTTTGGTGAGTAAATTTTGATTGTGAGAGTGAATAGTCACAGGTCTATGTACCCTTCCTATGCAACCCAAATCAACTAAACTAAACAATTTTGGAAGTTCTCTCTTTCTCGTTTTATTATTTGGTCAACGGGTTCCCCCATTCACACCCTTCCTTCCTTCCTTTTCCACACCCTTCATCCTATTTCTTGCGCCACAGGCATGTCCTTTTCTCCATGTGGAAAAGAAAACAAGGCATTCAAAAATTATAGCCCTTATTGCGAGTTCTTAGCCCTCTTAGCAGCAAACAGTTGGCGAAGGAATCCAAACTTTCCTCTTGCACGAGCAGAGAACTCGGTGATGGTACCATTACTAGACGTTGGTGTCTCCGTTGTGTCAGATTTTGGTGAAGACGGTGAAGACGGCGAAGAAGGAGGTGGGAGTGTAAATAGATATGCATTAAGCATGCGGATGATCTGGCTGAAGCTGGGCCTCATCTTAGAATCTTCCACCCAACACGACTGTACGATAAATGCTAGATCTGGAGGTATGTCGCCTGGAATACTCGGTCTCTCTTGCTGCATTCTCAGACCACAGTATCCAATGGTCACATATCTTGGAAGAAAAGGAACAAAATGGAAAGAAATGCATCGAAATAAACAAAATGTTGGCAGACACCTTGAAAGCAGCAGCATATGCAGCTTGCAAATTGGACATCCCTTCAAATGGCATTCGGTTGGTCAACAGTTCCCATAACACAATTCCAAAGCTGTAAACGTCCACCTTGTTGTTGTAATGCTTCTTCTCTCCCTGCCGCAATGTCACAGTGCTATATAGCTGCAAACACACACCAATGCAACGGTGCAACAAAACCCAATCAATAATAAAGCAATCCTCACACAACATTAAAAAAGAGGTTAAAGTAGAACACCTCAGGAGCCATCCAGCGGTAAGTCCCTGTTTCTGCAGTCATCATCTCGGTCACAGATTCTTCTCTAGCAAGTCCAAAGTCTGCAAGCTTCACAGACCTTTGGTTTGCAGTAAGCAACAAATTATCTGCAATGCAAGTGGTTTACTAATGTAAGTATTGGGACACATACATAGAAGCAGTATATATACCAATTCATTCTAATTTGTAAGAGTCTGCATAATATTACTGGATACATGTAATTCATAAATTGAATCCCCATTTGAGTTTGGAAACATTGATACATTACATCCAGATACCTTAAAAAGTACATACCAGGAAGCAGTAGTAACCCCATATATTGAAGTAACGAAACATTAGAAATAATCCTGATTCTAAAATTCATGCCACGAAAGAAGTACACATTACTCAAAACTCTCTTCAGATTCACCGAAACAATTATCATCACATAGAAAATCAACGAATTGAAGAAGTTGATGGAGAAAGATGGTTGAGAAATCTTCAAATATCATCCAGAGAACCTTCATGCATTTGCAAGTTCTACATCACATGTTGTCTAGCTTACAATAGCAAGTAGAGATGAGTGAGGATTACCAGGTTTGAGATCTCTATGTATAATCCCATTTGCATGTAGACAATCCATAGCACGAGCAATATCCAAAGCAAAGTTAATGGCCAGCCGAGGGTCCAGCTGTTGCTTACGATTATTCATCAGATACTTCCTGAGTGACATTCCTGGTAATAGCTCTGTAACTATCACCATTAGAGGTTCTTTACAAGCTCCAAGAAACTGCAAAGCAAATATCTTGCTATATTTGGTAAAATAAAAAACATGGAATGTGAATATAGAAAATATTATATTTATACTTTAAAAACATAGGTTTTAAAAATGCAGGCAGACTTCAACTTGATTTCCTCACCTTGACAAGATTTTCATGTTTTACTCGGGACATCATATTTACTTCACGGGCAAAACGATTTTCAAGCGCTGCCCTTTCTTCTGCAGTACTCCCTCGATGAAGAACTTTAACGGCCACAATTTGGTTCCGGTACCTGGAAAAAATACAAATGGACTTCAATCACTTAGCAGACTCCACTAGCTTGTCGCAACTATGCACTCTCTCTGCGTACAAGTACAAAATGTGATGCAAGGATTTGTAGAAAGAACTAATTAAAATACGAACAGGCTTAGTTCCGTGACATTCATGATCAAGCTCTGGAACAAATAATTTGTTCAGTGACCGTCGAGACGTGCACCATTTTTATCGTAGGAAGCACATATCAGTTTGTCTAGAGCCTCTGTGTCATAAGAGTCGGAACTTGCAGTTATATAAGCCTTATTTTTCAAACATTTCCTCAAAACAGCTACTACGTCAGATTCTAAGAGACTCGTCTATGGAGTGTACTTAAATAAAAGCATATCAGATATGGAGGTTAGATACATACGAAATCAACAAACTACGTAGATAAGCAAATTGTTTGTCACTTCATTATTTCTAAACTATCAGGTTCTTCAAGCCAAGGCTGTAAGAAGCAACAATGTTTACAACAAATTTTGAGACAAATGAATCACACAGACCTGCCTTCATAAACCTTCCCATGAGCACCCTCGCCGATCTTGGATCCAATAAACAGTAATTTTGGATCAACGAGAAGATTATCATCGATGGTCAAGTGTTGGTCTGTTATGGATCCATTCTGGATGACTGGTTTCCCTTCTGCCTCAACAGAGTTCCTCAAAACTGGCGCCTCAGTTTCCCTATCATCTCCCCCTCTATTCTCCTCGTTACAATTCATAGTGCACCCTCAAATTATTGTATACTTCCTCATACTGATACGTTGTGGACAAACTTAATCCAAAGCTAACATTACTTCAGTGATTCACATTTCTCGGTGGCCAATCAGTAGAACATCTTCAAACCACCAAACTAAATCTCAACTATTGTAACCAAATGAACCCATTCACAGCACCAAAAACTTGAACACCTGTTCTACGATTTTGACATAAACGAAAAGAAAATCAGAGTTTATATAATAATAAGAAGAAGAATAAGCGATCGATTTGGAATAAAACTTATCCCCCTTTTCCAACAAAAAAATGTAGCTCGCCTATCCCGGACGCCCTTTTACGGTTTAAACATCGGGAGAATCGCAAGCTTAAAACTGTGCACATGGCTTTGCTTGATTTCAAAGCGTCCTCCTCGGCCTAACCTAAGCAAACAAACCCTAGAAAAATAAATAAAATAAATAACTTACAGCTGAAGCCAAAATTTGGGAGGAAAGTATATAGGAGAAAGGAAAGCAATAAGAAAAATGGATGGGGTCGCTATCTAAGTTGGAGTTGAATAAGCATCTAAACACATAATAAACAAACAAGGCAAAGCTCTCGGTTTCTATCACTAGAGATGGAAAAGGAAACGGCACACACTCACACACTCTCTCTCTACCCACTGCGACGGAAGAAGCAGTCCGCTGCGAGATAATTCCAACCCTCTGCTCCGACGACAACTTCGGATAACTTTAGGGGTGAAAATTCAAAACGCAAAGAAAGAAAAGAGAGAGAGAGAGAAATTAAAAATGGTTGTCCAATAAAATCTGCGCACGTGGATGGGCCGAGATACAAGGTTTTGATGTTCTCCTTACAATTTTCTTTATTATTATTATTGCTTCATATATATATATATATATACCTTTTCATCTCGTGCCCCTCGTGTTCGCATATACCCTTTTCAAAAACTTTATAGAAATAAAGCATTTTTCTTCTTTCTTATTAGTATTATTCATTAAAATTGTACACAAAATTTTGAATGAGCTTGATTGGAAACCAGTATTTAGGAATCAAACCAAATTTGAAGAATAAATTAAAAGAAAAAAGAAAAGGAAAAAAAGGCAGTGTAATTGGTAGGACCATTTCAAATTTGGTACGGGTGGCTTTTTTGATTTAGGGTTTGGACTCTTGCTAAAGGAAATGATGAATGGTATCATAAATATCTAAAATGAAGTGAAAAAGACAGATAATAATAATAATGATGATGATGAGATACATAAAAATGGAAAACACCCAAAAACATGAGATATACTGAATAGTTCGTGTCAGTCCCTGCTCAATTCTCCAACCCACCTTCTTCTCATCCTATTCTCGTCAGAGGGACTTTTTAAGTTTTATTTCTCATATATTTTCAAAGTTGAATAAAACTTTATATATTCAATTTCAAGTTACAGGGTGCTTTATGCCTTCTACGTTCCAATGCTTTAAAATATTACTTTCATTTATTTTGGTTCAGGTAATAACAGATGTTTTTTATACTTCGTTTAGTTTCTTTTGTGCCAATTATAACATAGTTAAGGTTTTACAACCTTTTAAGCCATAAGATTAAATTATAAAATTAAAAAAAATTAAAATTACTTTTAAAGTATAGAATTTTTGACAAAAAAAATAATTAGGACATGAAACAATATTATGGTGTTCTAAAATAGTGTGACAATTTTCAATTTAAGTCAACACCATACCCTTCAAATTCCAATTTGCATATGAAATTGAGAGGAACTTATATTTCAAAATTGAAATGTTTATAAAAATATTAAAGAGGATATTGATGTTTTACGATTTAAAAAAAAATGAGTTGGAGGACTGTATGTATATATATATATTTGATAATTAAGATAAAAGTGTGAAAATGCATGTAATATAAAAAAAAAATATAAAAAATATAAAAAGGTAGATATAAAGGGAGAGGATGGTGTGTGAGATAAGTGATAAGTGATAAGGAGAGTGACGAGAGAATACCCGTCCAATAAGAACGAGGAAGATGACGTGAGGCTGTGGGCGTGGGAATACGCATACCTATCCACTAATAAAATGCCTTGAATCACTTAATATTCATTATTCTTCATGTATCTATCTACCTTTTATTTTTGTCAAATTATTATTATGTATAACATCTAATATTAGTGACGTTTAGAACCATAGTTTTTGTTTATAAAATAATATCGGGGAGAGAGCGAGCGAGAGAGAGGTGAGGTGTTTGATGATGAGAGGAGGGGGTTTCTTTTTTTAGTGAAAAGAATGATTTTTTGGGTCTGTAAGACAATGAATTACAATGGGTTCATGAATGAATCATGTATGACTAAGTGTTGTTGTTTTAACCAAATCCGCTACACTTGTTCATTCCCCTCCATCAGCCCGCATTCCACGCCCTCCTCTTCCTTACCACTCTCCTCCCCCACTATTGCCGCCATCTCCACCGCCCTCGCGCTCTGCTGGATCCAATCCGTTCGAAGCAGGGTATGCACCAGCATACACAAGCACGATATCTGGGCCGTCATCAGTCCGATCCACAGCCCCAGAAAGCCAGCCTTGAGGGTGAAAGTGGCAACCACTGCAACCGGGAGGCCAATGAAGTAGAAGGCGTACAGATTTATTCTTGCCCCTAACTTGGGTCTTGCGGTTCCTGTTAGAACCCCACACGCCACTGTTTGCGGGGAGTTACTAATTTCACACACACCCAACACGGGTAGTGCGGAGGAGATCATGTGAAGAATCTGCGGCTCATCTGTGTACAATTTCCCCCATACTGATCTCACTGACGTCATGAAAAAGAAGGCCGTCACTCCAAAAGCCAACCCCGTGGAAAGTCCTATCACCGCCGTCCACTGGGCGCGAATGGGCTCCCCTGCCCCCAGGGCTTGCCCTACGCGTGTCGTGATTCCTGCGCTTAACGAGAATGGAACTATGTACAGCATTCCAGTGGTTTGGATGAGGATGCCCATGGCTGCCACTGTGTTCTGGGGGTTACTCAGCAGCCCACAAAGGAACAGCATTATCTCGTACCACCACCACTCCAAGCACACCGACACCGCGCTCGGGACTGCTAAACTCAACAGAGGCTGCCACCCCTGGAACGTGGACAGAATGGTGACGCCATGCCAAGGCTTCAAGGGCTTGCTAGATAGCACGAGGTAGAGCATGAGGCCCAGGTTGAGGTTGAAGGTGTTCCAGGCGAGGGAGAGGGCGACACCCTCGACGCCCAGGTTCAAATAGGAGACCAGAAAGTAATTGATGGGAGGGTGCAAGAGGGCAGAGCATATGGAAGCTACGGTAATCGGGGTGGTAATGCCTTGGGTTCTCAAGAAGATCCGGAGGGGAAGGTGGTGCGCTTGGGCAAGCAATTCGGGGATGGAGAAGAGCATGTACACCTTGGCGACTTGAGTGATGGCGGGGTCCTGACCTAACCAAAGAAGGATGGGTTCCATATTTAGCCATAACACGGAGATGGGTAGGGACACAAGAAGTAGGAGGCACAGGGTTTTGAGGAAGGTTTGACTCAGAACTGACCATCTCTTAGCCCCAAAAGCTTGGCAGCAAATGGGATCCATCCCCGTGGAGAGGCCCCTCAGAATGGATATTCCGGTTATGTTCCCGAACCCAAGTGCGAGAGAACCCCCAGCAAGTTCTGCCTTCCCAAGATGACCTAAGAACAGCATTGAAACAACCGACCTTGAGTATAGTAGAAAGGACGTCATTATTATGGGGCCTGAAAACCTCGCCAGGGATTTCAACTCCTCTTTCATCTGCACGGATGCCATTCCCACAACCATAAACGTATCATCATCATCGTCATCATCAAACACAAACACCCATCCTATTTGGTTATTTGGTTCTAAAAATCATGTCGGACCAGTGTGTGTTTGCATAAGCTGAAATGAAGAGAAAGGTACCTGGTGGGGAGGGAGGCCTTGGGGAAGGGCATTGAGGGGGAAAAGGCGGCGAAAGAAGGCTCCGGCGGCTGCTGCTGCTGCTGCTGCTGCTCCTCCTCCTCCTGCTGCTGCTGTAGAAGCACTCATCATTGTAAGTTCATGTTTAGGGGTGGCCTTTGGCATCCTCTGGTAGTGTATATATAGAGAGAGATGGAGATTGATAGAGGTAGAGATATAATGGTGTAAGCATTGATATTATAAGAAAGGAAGGTGGGGAGATAAATGGGAGGAGAGGAGGTACTGGGGCTGGGGCTCGCCCAAGAGCCACACAAAAACTAATGATAAAGTACAGAAAGGTGCAGGACCAGAGGGGGCTTTATGTTGCCCTCCGCTAGCTGTTAATGAGTTTAAAAGTAGAGAGTACACAGAATGTGTGTCTAAGTAATCCAGAAACGAAAAAAGTACGAGTCATCATCATCATCATTTCCCGCTGTGTTGTGTTTTGTGTTTTGGGTTTTGGGTTTTGTGTGTCCGGTTCATAATATTATTAGCCTAATAATTAATAATGAATGGACCACCACCCTTCTTTATACACACACACACACACACATATATATTCAAATAATAAAACTGGATGTTCTTCCCCTTTCATGGGCCACTTGCATTATTCTATCAACCCTTTCTCTTCGCTTTTCCATCCCGACTTCATTCATTAACTTCTTCTTGATTTTCCAAATGTCTTCACCGTGCGTGCGATGCCTTTGACGCTACAACAATATATTTATTTATTTATTCTCAATATCATCCCCCCTCTTTCCACGTTGCTCCGACATCATGCTGTTTTCAAAATACATGCATGGGGGGCCCCTTCTTTCTCTTTTCTTTTTTTTTTCTTTCGATTTATACATATATATATATATATATATATATGGGTCTCTAAATTCCTATAGCCTTCCTTCCAATTGGTCCCTCAAACTTCAATTATTTGTGGTTGCAAGAGACGAATGATGCATGGGCATGTCCATGTCCCCCATTTCCCTCTCATCGCCCCATAATACTCCCTTCAATTATATGCCACTTCCCTACTTATATAATCCCCCATATTAAAACCAAAAAATAATGCTTCATTATTGCCAACATTCTTCCCATTTACTACTCATCTCCATCTCTTTGCAAAGGAGCAAGGACTAAACCAAACCCTCTCTTCAATTATTGCTCATCTTCCCCCTATGCCCATTCATTCATTGCCTACACAGTGACTGTATCCACAAACCCTAACCCATGCAACTGCGCTTAATTCTATTCCTTTATTATACTTTTTGACGAGCCATCAATTTTGATTAGGGTAGATCACTCATTCTAATATGAATTTATACTTCTAAATTGGAGTTGATTTAAAATCATAAGAAGGGCAATGATTAATTGGTAATAAGAGTCCTTTAGGGGTCTAAATTGATGTTAATAATAGGAAAAGGGGAAAAAGAGAGTGTGGAAGGCCGTACGTAGGGCATTGCATGCGCAGGGTGGTGGTGTGAACTATGAGGCGAAGTGAATTGTAAAAAACAAAATATTAAATGGAAATATAGGATTATATGTATTGGAGAAGAGGGCGGAGGGTGGAACAACTAACCGCCCATTCTCTTCCTGTACGGAGAGATGCTTTCCTGACCAATCTCAATTCTCCCATATGCCACTCACTCTTATTCCTCCACCACCACACTTGATTAATTATATATATATATATTTACTTTAAATACAACTAACCTCTCTTCTCTTTATGCATTATAATTATTAATTAACATCATCCACCAAACCCATACTTCACACTTCACTTCTTCCCTCTCATTATTGTCTTTCAAATAAATAATATTATTTATTTATTTAAGAACTATGTAGTTCTACCAATTGGTTGCTTGGGAACGATAATCGTGCCCACAACTTGAAATATAGTTGTATATAGCCGCCTGCACTGCTCTGCACTACACTACAGCCTCTTATATTATTAACATTATCTTTATCACCTTATTACCACAATTTTCTGCATTTAATCAAATCAATATGCTTTGCTTTGGTTTCTAATTTTGTGTACACAACTAAACTGCTTTTTTTTTTTTTTTTTAATATTATTATTATTTTAATATTGGTAGGTATTCCTCGAGTTTAACAACAAAATGTCTTGTTTTTAGTCCTCCAGGGACATATTTCAAATTTGGAGAATTCTCTATCCGGACCATCAAACTCTCTACACATTTTTATATTCATATTGGGGTCCAACACTTTTTCCCCTTGTTTATTTATTTATTTTTATTTTTCCTCTCTCTTCTTTTTTTAATTGGAACCTGTACCTTCAATAAATTATTTCATAAACTTTACCTACGCATGTATACATTTTTCATTTTATTTTATTGATATACTTGTTTAAAGAATAAACGTTTGAATATATATAATATTATTGGATTTATAAATGAAGAGATGATAATAAAAAGAGAGATAGATATATAATAAAGACTAAAGTAACTTTTTTGTGCGAGGATAGAGAAATAGAATAAAATAAGTATGAGATTCAGAGATTAAAAGAGATGCCAGGAATAGAGTAGGGACAGAAAGTACAAGGGTGTAAAGAAATTACCCAGAGTAGAATTACCAAACTAGTCTTAGTCGCATTTAAGAAAGAAAAAAAAAAAAAAAGATTCTTCCCTGACCTAGAAAATCAAAAACATGGGGGGGTCTGTAATAGTAGACTTTTATTTTAGGGTAGACCGTTGTCCTCCAAGTAACATACACCTTACAGATGGAGCTAAATTTTGTCTCCAAAAGAAATGTGCAAGTTGCATAGGCGCTTTTTACCCCCCCCTCCAACCCCCAATCTGATACTGTTATTATAGCTGAAAAGCTATGGGGTGAGTAAGATAGCGCCAACGCCAACGCCGAGCTTAATATTTATGTAAATAAGTTTCCGTGAATTCCCTCCTCCCACCACAATCTATTCAAACTATTGCCACTACTCCTACGCCAGGAATGCTCTGCTTTCAGATACTGTTTCTCTTACAAGCCCTCAAAACCTTTTGGCAAATCAATAAAACCCCCCAACACCAAATTTATTCTCCTTCCATGATTGCAATGTAAACCTACAAAATCAAAGTTATAGCGTATTTTTTTACCTCTCCAATATTTCATCCAAATATAAATATTCCCTCCCTCTACAACTTTTCTCCGCTTCTAACTTCTCTTTAAACTCTTCTTTTATCTCTATAACATATTCCTTCCTTCATTTTTTCCCTTTATCTAATGACATTCACCAACTCAAACTTCTCTCTCTAAATTTGTTTTCTTTCCTCTCTTGAAGTTTTAACTTCCCAATAAGATATCCTATTTTTTACAAATATTTTCAAAGCTAAATTATGTTTTCTTTTAGAAATTTGATTAAGAATTCAAATGTTTAGTTTTCAAAAAGTAAACATAAAACAACTTTGTATCTAGAAAATGAAAACCGGAGCCTCCAATAACAATTTTGTCTTTATTTTTTAAATTAACACATTTTTTCCATTTTTCTTATTATGATTTTTACAAACATTTGAATTTTGAATTAAATTTCAAAAACAAAAACAAATTTTTAAAAGATAATTTTTTAGTTTTTAAAACATTGATAAAAAATATGGTTAACAAAAGAAAGAACTTGGAGGTGAAAGTAACATTTATAAGCTTAATTTTAAAAAATTAAAAAATAAATAGTTATCAAATAAACCTAAAATATTGGTTGAAGCAAAAAAAAAAAAAAAAAAAAAAAAAAAAAAAAAAAAAAAAAAAAAAAAAAAAAAAAAAAAAAAAAAA